TCTTTCCCTCTATCTCATCAAATTATATTAATAAGCATAATAAATAAAATTAAATAAATTTTTAAAATTTTAAAATAAACTCGAATTCTGTGATGGTGACATCCAACAGTGCCAGCCTACTGATTTAAGAAGGCACAGTGGGACATCTAAGTAGAGATTGAAGAAGATCACCCACAGATTATCCTGTCTGATAGCTTCTGCCTTTGGTTATTTCTTAGTTTGTCCATTGACTTAAGGATCATGCCAGTATCTGCCTGTGTCCCTCCCTGAAGCTTTTCATTCAAAATCCCTGAGATACACAAGCTGAATAGGTTGGTCCATCAATATCCCACACAGAGAACTACTCCAAGGTAGACTTCTCTGCTTGACCATCTCATGGGCTGTTGGTTGACATATGAATCAGTCCATATCCCAATAAGCATTGGTTGAGAGGTCATATCATATATACCATGCCTTATACTATGTGTGCAAAAACCTCCTTCCTCTCCACTTTGGGAAGTGTATCAGTTAGCCATGGCTGTGTAACAAATCACCTCTATGTGGTTTTGTTTTGGTTTGGTTTGGTTTTCACTCAAAACAACAACTACTTTATTTAGTGGATGGTTTTGTAGACTGGATGGACACTTCTTCTGATTTGGGCTGGCCTGGCTGGTCTTTGATGGTCTCTTTAATGCGTTTGTGGTCAGCTGGTTGATGGGATGATCTAACATGGCCTCCCTCACACATGGTGGTTGAAATGTTGGCAACCAGAGTGATGGACCTTTGGCTGGTGAGCCTTGGTTCTCTTCCACATGGCCTCTTATTTTCTAGCAGGCTAGCACAGTTTTGTTTTCTGTTAGCTAGAGTTTCACTGGCCAAACCCAAGTTAGCAGTTGGTATGGGAGAGACTACCCTTGAAGATGGGGAATTTCTGTGTTTATTTGTGCAAACAGTCTATCACATGCAGCATTTGACTGTAAGCACAGGGGATGGTCAGCATTTTAGGGATTTCTCTTGGGCTCAGGCATTTCAGTTCTATCTCCAGACAATTTTTACTTCAGCGCTGCTGACAATGACAGGCCCTCCTCCCTTGCCACTTAAAAGATGAGGCAGAAGTAGTGGTGCAGTGGTAAGGCAATACACTGCAAGACTGGCCCACATGAGAAGGTTCAATGCATGCATCTGGAGACCTTCCTGATGACACCAGGCACACATATGCCTGTGACCCAGGCTGGATGATGTGGGAGGTGAATTGCAGCACGAATATACTATTGAAGGTCTTTATCTCTCCCTCACAGCACATGGGAGAAATAAACTTTTTTGAAAGTTAAAAGATGCAGCAAACATACTGAGTATTATATGGGAGGGATGTTTGTCAACCCACGTATATAGCTATATCTGATTTTTTTTGTGTGGGTTTTAGTGCATTTTCTATGTTTAATTTGTGAAAGTAAATAGGAAACAGAAAAATAAAAAATGTTAATGTTACTGTGAAGAACAATTTGGAGATTTCTCAAAAATCTACAAATAGAACTACCATATGATACATCAATTCCACTCCTTGGTTATCTACCTGAAGGACAGAAGAATTCTTCATTGGAAAAGTGCTTGCACATCGATGTTTACTGCGGCACTATTGACAATTACTAAGACATGGAACCAACCCAAATGCCCTCGAACAGATGAATGGATTGAAAAACTGTGGCACATATACTCTATGGAATACTATTCTGCCATAAAAGCAACAACACCACCCTGGCATTTGACAGAAAGTGGAAGAATATGCAAGATCTGCTGCTGAGTGAAGCAAGCCAGGCTATGAAGGAGAGACATTGCATGTCCCCACTTAATATATACCAAGTGTCTGCACTCTATGACTGAAACTGATTGACTAAAGGGTATACAAACACAGTAAATGGGTGTAAATACCAGATATAGTGTGTGTGGAAGAGTAGGGCCTGAGGAAGGACACTTAGAAGAAAAATATGGAGGCAAAGCATTAATGGGACAAAGAAATATGGTATTATCTGTTGAAGCTATTTTATAGTTTAATCAACTGGACTAGGGAGAAATGTTCACATATTGAAATATTCACTTTGTAAGCTAAATAATGTGACTAAATGTGTAAAAGAAAAGGAAATAACAAAATGAGGTAGATCTGTATGTAATTATTGAGAATATTGTCTATAATGTACAGCTGTAAAACTGTATTTAGAGTAAGATCATATTTTGCAGAACAAATAAAGAATATGGGTATTATATTTAAAAAAAAAAAGAAGAAGAAATAATAAGGCCAGAGACCAGCAGGTGACATGGTGATTAAGGCACTGGACACTCCCACATGGCTGACCATGGTTTGAGTTCCAGACCAGATGGTTTGCTCCCTCACTTTCTCTCTCTCTCTCTCTCTCTCTCTCTGTATGCCTCTCTCTGGTCAAATTAAAATAAATGAATGAATAAATAAAATTAAAAGGTGATTTTTAAAAAGAAATTAAAATAATAAAGCCATGTTTAATAGATGTAATAAGATCAAGACAAAGAATAAGTTGCTCAGTATGTATTTGAACTTCTCATGCTAGGGGGTATTTGCCATAGTCATGCTGGATCTTACGAAGATTCTTCCAATAGAAACAAGGCAAATATGTCATGATTCTACACCAATAAAATCAGTCAAGTATTTACCAGACAAGTAGATTAGTGTATTATATTGAGTACCCATGTCTCAAAGCCCAAAAATATGGTTAAATCACTTTCTAAGAGTGATAAACTTAAGAGATTCCAGAAGGGGCCAGAGGTGGTGTAGTAGTTAAGGCACTGAACTGTCAGATGGCCCCTGTGGTTCAGGTCCCGGACCTGGAGGCATGTGTGCATGTGTGCACAAAAATTCAGGGGAAGAGATTGCAGCATGATCATCCACCATGGGGGTGATTTCCCACTACCTCTCTCACTGTCTCTCTCTCTTTCTCTCTGGTGAGTGCACACACCTTATGGCAAAACCTTAAAGAGAGAGAGAGAGAGCTTCTAGGAAAGGGAGCTGTATAATACAAAGATTGACTGACTCATTCTCACACTCTAACCTTCAACTCACATAGTACGAATTACATTAAAGGAGTTTCTTTGAAGTTGGATCCATTTCCTTGGTAGCTGGGTGTTGATATTACTCTCTTTTTCATTACATGGCTTTCTCCATTAAACATCTTCACTATCCTCAAGTTCATTTTCTGAGAGACTTTAATATGGCCTAGACTTACAACAGCTGGGTGTTGACACCACTCTCTTTTACATTACATGGCTTTCCCCATTAAACATCATCCCTATTCTCAAGTTCATTTTCTGAGAGCCTTTAATATGGCCCAGCCTTACAAAGTACCATTGGATTGTCAGAAAAACCATGACGCATTATTTCTACGTAAAAATGTGTCATGACTTTTCCGACGACCCAATACTTCAATTAGTCTAAAGAGAACTGGTAGAGCCTACATTATGCAAACTCCCCAACAAACAACCCAGCCTTCCCACCCACCCACAAGACTCCTTGAGAAACTGACACTCAAGATAAGTAGCAACAATACTTCCTCTTAGCTCTAAGAAGCTTCCAGACTGGGGTGAGAAGCAAGGACTTTTCATTCTTTGGGGTAAGTAGGTACTGGTTTAGTGTCTTCCCATAGAAAATGGAAAATGTTTCACTTGTGATCTTGAATCTAGAACAATCTGTTGGCTCTGGAAGAAACACTTTCAAGAATATGTCATTGCATGCTCTACTGCTTTATTTCTGGAACGTTTCTATGTGAGTGTCTATCCCACATTGGTTTTTCCACTTCTGCTCGGGCAAGGGATGTGCGTGTTGGTATGTGGTAGTGTGGGACCTACTGAGATGTTTCAGCTCAGTCAAAGGAGCTGATGAAGTGTGTATGGAGGGGCTTAAGATGATAATGTTTCAAGAAGAATCTAAAGCAAATGTAACATATAACCAATTTCTTAAAAATGAGGAAAACAAGATCTAAAAAGATGAGGGCATTCACGGAGGTTGGGCAGTGAAGGAATGACTTCTTCATACACCTCACTCCGCTAGTGAACCTATCAGCACAATGAAGTCCCTGGCTCATAGAATTAGCAGGGTTGTTTGTTTTATGGGTGGCCAAAGTAAAAGCTAACATTTTTTTTTTAACCAGCTGGTTATGACCCATGGGGGGTTGGGGGGCAGTCCTGAAACCCGCTTAGTGGATAACAGCCAGTATTACAACAACTAGAAACTAAATGGGTTGTTATAAAATATCAATGCTGCACGTAGTAAGGATCATTTTATGTAACTTCCCTCAGTTCTCTTTCTCTCTCTGATGTAAAATGCATCTTTTACAGTGAGTTGTGGCCCCAAATCTCTCCAAATCAACATCACCAGGGTCTCGGCTGCTTTAAAAAATATCACCACTTCTTTTAAGTAAAAATACTCATTTTAGGGACCAGTATATGGCATAATATTTACATCACTGGACTCCCACGTAGTCAATGGCGGGTTGAGTCCTGGACCGGGTGGCTTAAAACTCACCCTGGGCACATGTGCGTGCGTGCCCAAGATCCTAAAAGGAGAATGGAGGAGAAAGGATTGGGGTGTAGCCATTCCCCCTAGGGGGTGATTTCTTGCTTTCTATCTCTTTCATCTGTCATTCTGGGGAGCGCACGTGCCCTATGGCAAAAATTTCTCTCTCGCTCTCTCTCAAAAAAAATACTCACTGACCACTGACACTCAAAATAAGTAGCAACAATTCTTCCTCTTTTGTTAGCTCAAATAAATTTCCATACTGAGTGAGAAGCAAGGACTTCTCCAATGAGTCCTCATCAAAAAGATTGTCTTCAACCGGATAAAGCCTCTGCTATGAGATTTCCCCAAAACAATTTAGAGAACGGGTTCCTCTTTTATTTGAATAACATTTAGTATAGTATGCATGAAATTATTACAATAACATTTTTGTCAACCTCCTATCAACCATTGTTTAATTAACACATTAATCCAATGTACTTTTTTCTTTTTTAAACATTTTTTATTGAACACGTAAAAAGAAGTTTGTTTTTTTTTTAAATTGGACAAACTATCCTGTTAGTTATCATTTTAAAGGAATTTACAGGGCTGTTATAGATTATTCTTTTAGAATAATTCAGCTTACAGCAAATGCCTAAACTGGTTTCTTTTTTTAATTTTTATTTTTATTATCATTATAATCTTCTTTATATTACATTGGATTACATATAACTTTACAGTGTATTACATTGATTTTTCAAAAGGGAATGCCATGCATGTCAGTCAATACAGAGACATTGATCTCCCCGCTTCATCATTCAATAACTTTTCTATGTTTTTCCCAATCCTTATTATTATTATTCTAATTATTTTTTTAAAACAGTCAATCACTATTCCTCATTTTGCTTGTAAAAAGACTTTACCCATCATGAAATACTTCTCAGACCAATAATCCAATATATTTTTAAAAGTATTTTCTAAGATGATGAAAATCTGTCATATGCTATCTAAAATCTTTCATAAAAGTAAAATTTACTACCACTCTATAGATGACATACAATGGAGTAAGATTTCTTTTGAAAGAAAAAAATAATCAAAAAGGAAGACAAATGTTGAGAGAGTGAAAATATCTAGAAAATGATGAAGAATACTTTCTCCAAAGAGATACGAGACTTCTGCTTATGGTGTTAGGGGAAAAAAAAGAGTGTTGAGCTGCGTTGTGGAAAATACTTGATTCTTTAGGTCCAGATCTCTGAGTTTAGAGGCCTTCCTGGGGATGCAAAATAAAAATGAAGAGGCAGGACATTTAAGGGACACAGAAATGGAGGATTGTTGATGATAATGTGTCTGATCCTTCGCTGGACTGGTGTGCAGGGTACTCATGCCAGGAAAATTAATTTTACCAGCTGAAGTCATGTGCAGTGATTCAATGTGTAAAGTAATAAAATTAAAAGTCAGTCAACACACACACACACACACACACACACACACACACACACACTTGTGAAGTAGGAAAAGGGAAGTGTGAACAAAAAGTGAGGATTTTTAACAGAAAAGAAGTACACCCCCATGCCAGAAAGCTGTGCAGGTGGGCAGCTCCCAGAGAAGGCCAAGTGCACTGGGCATGGGGTTAGGTGCTACATTTACTATAAGAGTTGGCAGTACATTTTTAGCGGGAAAATGATCTGTCACAGTATCTTGGTTCTTTGTTTGACTTTGTGAGCTCTTTCTTGCATTGAATTCCTTACGTGTGCATTGCTCTCACAGGTAAGGAATTGAATGATCTAACTGTGCATGCCCGGTGTGGTCTTTGATGGTATGAGCAATCTTATCTGGATGAACTGCCCAAAGAGTTTATTTCCCCAGTGGGAATCAGGATGTTGACTTAACATTCCATGCCAGTGGTGAATTTCTATGTGTATATTTGGGATGGCAGGAGGGAGGATAACAATTTTCCCATCCCAGTAGTTGGGTAGAAGGAGGGAATTCTCTAAGACTGTAACTCTTAGAAGTTATGATTAGTGTGACAGATGTCCTTCTGTTATTGTCTTAGGGCTGCCCGCTCATTTCTAGCTAATGGGACAATGGGATTTAGTTTCTATCAGACAATATTTTCTACTGACAAGGTTGCAAACCAGTGGCCCATTGGTTCTGTTTTTAAGGAGAACGTGGATGTGACTGTCTCTGGAGAGAGTCTGTGGTCCTCACATTTCCACTGTCCTCGTTGCTTCCCACCAATGGCCTCACTCATTTATGTCACATGTCTGGCTTCTGGGAGACAGGGAGGTTTTTGATCTTGTGAAGTGGTTGGTTGTACGTGGACTTGGGATCCAAGCAGACTTTGTCCAAGGCTTAGCTTTTCATTTTACTAGCAGCATGATCTTGAGCAAATGATACAATCTCTTTGAACCTCGATTTCTTCACTTGAAGAATGGGGAAGATAGTTGTAACATCTACATTGTGAGATGGCGGTGAGCTTTTAATGAGATGATAGTGACAAAGCACTTACAAAGGAGCTTGGTGTAGAGTAGATGTTCCATAAATGATTTTAGAAAGTGATAATCGGGACCAGCAGGTGGTGTCATGGTTACATCGCTGGACTCCCATGTAGTGGACTGCGGTTCACGTCCCAGACCTGGTGGCTTAAACTCACTCACACCGGGCACGTGTGTGTGCGTGCCCAAGATCCCGAGAGGAGAATGGAGGAGAAGGGATTGTGGCATGACCATCCCTCGGGGGGGGGGTGATTTCTCACTTCCTGTCTCTCTGTCTCTCTCTGTCTTTCTGCCTAGCATACACACCCTATAGCAAAAACCTCTCCAACAAAATAAAAATAAAAATTAAAAAGTGAAATGGAATGAAAGCAAACAAATAAATGATAGCAAAAAAAATAATAATAATAATCTGGGCAATTCGTCCTGTGGAACTTCCCTTAATTGGAACTTGCTGATTGCAATAACAGGATTTTATATGAGAATCGAATATTCCATCAGATTCATCTGTTTTCCTCATTTGTTGGGGGGGGTCACTTAGTCTGTTACAATCATCCTTATAGAATCCTTTCCTCGAGATAGTTTCAGAAAAAGAATGATTGGGTCGCAAGAGAAGCAGAAATGAAAGGGTTTGGATACACACCAGCCACCTGGCTTCTACACTTTCTGACCTTCAGGAGTTGGTTTTCACGGAGTGTGTTCATTCCAGGAACTCTCCCCACGTCCTGCTTAGGAGCGGCTCAGGCTGTGGCCCGGGCGTCTGGGTGCTATGGGAACCAGCTTCCTGCTCCCACTCTCCGGTAAGTGGGCAAAGCCTTTCCCTCATGGTTTCCCGTGCTCCTGCCATCCTACCTTGAATGACTTCCCTCCACTCGATGCTTTCTCCTGCAATAACTGCGTGTGCCCATCCTGTTAGAACCCTTATACAGAGTCCCTTATGTTGGCTCCCCCCAAAAAAGAACTGACACCAAAGCTTGTGTGTAAGTCCTCTGTCTGAGAGGAGACGGGAGGAGTCAGAGTGTGTTAAGGAGGGGTTACTACCATGGGCAACTGGGTCTCAATCCTGCCTGGAGACCCCCTCCTCAAACATTTATGGCCTGTCCCCCATGGGCTACAGAAAAAATACCCTTTTTCTGAGAGCTACAGCATCATGTGCATGTGTGGGAACCCACCTCCCAGGGTAGGCAAAGGAGACATTTCTGGATCTGCTGCGCTGGTTGACTGTTGAGAAGATTTTTGATGTTAAACTATAAATGCCAATAGTGACCACAGGCACAGTGATTACACATGATGCTGGAGGGAGTTCATTTTAATTTGTCTTTCTGAAGATTTAGAATTTATTCCTTGTGTTTAAAGGGAATGTTTCATTGAGAAGTAAACATTTGTGTTCTAAAGGCTAAAAAAAAAAAAGTCTTTGCTTGTGGAACCATAGCTCAGTGTGTTACAATGACCTGTCCCTACTCACCCTTCTGCTCTGAGCTTTAGGGCCTTAGAGGTAATTTTTTAAATATCAAGAAGAATATTAGAGAGGGAAGACATTTAAGGGACAGAGAAATGGAGGGTTGTCTGTAGACAATAACACATATGATAATATCTTTAATTGGACTGGTGTGCCGTGTATTTATCCTGAGAAAATTCATTTTGTAAGCTGTGGTGATGTACAATGATTGAATGTCTAAAATAAATGAAAAAGAAATAAATGAATAAATAAATGAATAAGTAATACCTATAGGAGGGGTCAGCGGATGGCGTGGTGGCTGAGGCACTGGACTCCCATATGGCTGAGGGTGTGGTTCAAGTCCCAAAGCCACTTCAAGTGCCGGCTTGAAAATCACGCCAGGCACATGTGTGTGCATGCCCAAAATCCTGAGAGAAGACTAGAGAAGGGATTGAGATGGGGCCACATCCCCCTTGGGGAGTGAGTTCTCATGTTTCCTCTCTGTCTCTGTCTCTATGTCTCTCTCTGGCAGGCACACACACCCTATAGCATTAAAAAAATTTATAGGAAGCTTACTGATGGGTGAGTGTTCACTGACTTACACAAATGGCCATGTCATATGATTTGACTTAACATTATGAATCCTTAGGGTGATGTTTTCAACAGTACCTGTGATACTGAGTATAGTAGATAGAATCCAGGAGCAGGAAGAAAGCGGAGCATCTTATCTAGGGAGGAGATTATTATTATTATTATTTTACTATTTTGTACTCTGGTTACCTCTTTTCTTTCTTTGTTTCTTTCTTTGTTTCTTTCTCTTTGTTTCTTTCTTTTTCTTCCTTTCCGTTGGTTTCTTTTCTTCTTTTTTTAACATTCAATCTTGTCTTATTCCTTGATCAGTCAAATGGACCATGGTCATGATACAAACCTAGCTGGATGGAAGGAAATCAGGGGAGGGAAGCAAAACATTTAATGAACACAAAAATAGAAAATTATCTGTTGGTGATAACAGCATACGGTACTGTCTTTGACAGGATTACTATGCACTGCATCCATACTGGGAAAATTCATTCTCTGCTGTAAAGGTGTACCGTGGGGGCCCAGCAGGTGGAATAATGTCTGTGGAGCTGGACTCCCACGTGATCAACTGCGGTCCAAGTCACCAACCTGGCAGTTTGAAACTCACTCCGGGCGTGTGTACGTACATGCCCAAAATCCCAAGAGAAGAAATGGAGGGGCAGGGCTTGTGGTGTGACCATCTCCTCTGGGGGGCATTTTCTCACTTTCCCCCTTTCTCTGTCTCTCTCTGGTGAGTGCATGCACCCTGTAACAAACAAACAAAAAAGAACCTATACAGTTCATATACTGGTTCTATTGAACAGTGTTGTCCTATAGGCCCGGAAATGTCTGGATTTACATAGACAGGCTGGTGAATCTAGAAAGGAGATTGAAACCCTGGTCTTCTCAGCTGCTAGACTTGGACAAAACACTGAATTACCTGCTGGGTTTCCAGACATCAGGGTACATGGCTGCCATCAGACTTGCCTCCCGTGCCTCAGTAGCTCACGATGCCTCCCTACCCCCGTATTTACAACCTTCCTTGAAGACGACGCAGTCAAGGTCACCCCTCTGCTGGGTCAGGCCGTGGGAGACAAGACAGAGGCATTTCTCAGGGCATCCCTCTCCTGAGCCTTTCCCTCTTCTTTCTGTTCCAGGTCTCAGCATCCTGTTGGCTTTGGCAGGATCAGAAGCAAAGTATTATGGAGGTGAGTCTCCCCGTAGCTAGAAGCCAAGGAAAAGAACGTTGAGAGCTGGAAGCTTCCTTCAGCCAAGGGAAGGCATAGTTCTCAGGGGAGAGAACATGGAGTCCCTGGAACTTTCCACTGGCTCCTTGGAGCTCCCAAGGGCTATTGTTTCCCCCATCACCATCCTCACCAGCATCATCTCCACGTGGCTAAGCAAATTACTGGTGGCGTCTCATTCTCATGATGGTCCTGCACAGGGGGTCTTGACATTGTCCCCCCAACAATGGCCCTCTAGAGGAGCAGCTGGCTCAAGGTCACATGGCTGGTCACACCTGGAATCTGCTCTTTTTTCCTCCAGATCCTATGTCCTGAGTCATCCTGGGAGATATTTTGCTGTTACCCTGAGTCTACGTTGGGTGCTCCCAGAAGCAGAACCTAAGATAGGGACTTGTGAGCAAGTTGCTGATCTGGGGATGACCTCACAGAGTACCAGTGGGGAAGGGGAGGTGACATCGGGATGGGTTGGCCCATCTACTGCGTTGTTAGGAAAGTCATGATACTTTTTTTTTTTTTCATAGAAAAGCAGAAAAATACTTCATGACTCTCCCAACAACCTAATAGGATCTATCACCAACCAAGATACACTTGGGTGGCTGAAGCTTGACCACCTGGGGGAACCGATGGAGTGGTTCGGAGGGTGCATGTCAGAGTTGTTGGCCAATGGATAAGAAAGCACGTCTTTTATTATTTACCTAAATTGTGGTAGGCTACACACAGCATATAAGTCACCTTTTCAACCATTGTTGAATGGACAATTCGGTGCATCGGGGACACTCACACTGCTGTAAAATGTGACCAGGACCCACCCACAGAACTCTCTTCAACTTGAAGAACTGAAACTCCACTCCCATTAAACACGAACTCCCTGGTCCTTCCTTCTCCCACATCCCCCAGTTCCTGGCAGTCTCCCCTCTGCTCTCTGTCTCTACAGTTTTGACCACACTAACTACCTCCTGTGAGTGAGACTCTACGGTGTTTTCCTTTTGTATCTGGTTTATTTCACTTAGTAGAATACCCTGAAGACTTGTCCCCATGTCGCAATATTTGTTTTCTTTTTTTAAAAAGGTAATGAATTACTTTTATTTATTATTATTATTATTATTTTAAGTTTGCTATAGGGCACATGTGCTCACCAGGGAAAGATGAGAGAGAGAGAGAGAGAGAGAGAGAGGAAAAGTGAGAAAGCAAGCCACCAGGTCCTGGAATCGAACCACAGTCAGCCATGTGGGAGTCCAGCACCTTAATCACCATGTCACCTGCTGGTCCCTATTTGTTTTCTTTTTAAGTCTGCAATATATTTCATTGCACGTACAGAACATGTTTTGTTTAGCCATTCATCCATCAGTGGGCACTTGAGTTGCTTCCACCTTTTGGCTATTGTGAATAATGCTTCTGTGCTATACAAATACCTCTTCAATACCTTTTTGTTTTTGTTTTTGTTTTTGCCATAGGGTGCATGCACTCACTGGAGAAAGATAGAGAGAAAGAAAGTAATAAATCACCCCCAAAGGGGATGGTCACACCACAGCCCCTTCTCCTCCATTCTCCTCCTGGAATTTTCAGCACACGCACATGCATCACGCATGATTTTCAAGCCATCAGGTCCAGGACTCCAACCGTGATCGGCCATGTGGGAGTCCAGCCCCTTAACCACGCCACCTGCTGGCCGGCATTGCCTGCTTTCCATTGTTTGGTTATAATACCTGAAAGTGAACTTGCTGGGTCATACGGGGACTCTATTTTTTTTAGCTTTTTGAGGAACTGGCACACTTTCCCACGGGACTGCACCATTTTTCATCCCTACCAGCCATGCATAGAGGTTCCAACTTCATGTCCTCACCAACCCGTGGTATTTCCTGTTTTGGTTTGGTTTTTAGTAATAATGAAACTGGGTTATTTATAGACTGCTCTCTGTCTCTCAGTTATGGAGGGAACTGCTGTTGGGAGGGAAGGCGTGGCTCACTTGCCCTGTGGTGAGCCAGGAAGACTCTGGGGGCCGGAGAAAGCCTGCAGGTAGAGAGACACACGTGTGGGGCCAGCAGGTGGCGTGGTGGTTGAGGGCGCTGGAGAGACACACGTGCTGCCATTTAGAAGTTCGATTGTTGGGCGGAAGTGGCGTTGCAGCCCAGGCGGGATGTAGGTGGGCACTGAGCGTCAGCCTTCAGCAGCGGGTTGGCTGGGTGCAAGCAGGACGCCTTCAGAGCTGTTCCCGAGAGGGTATTCTTCTGACCACGGTGTCTGGGCCATTGGAAGTGTTCGAAGACTGTTTCTTGAAGGAATAAATGAGCAAATGAATGAATGGACTTTGTTCCCCGCAGCTCTCTGTCCTCCATGCCCTGCAAAGGCCAACTGCCACAACAGCACTCACTGTGTCTGCCAAGATGGATTCCAATCCAGATCGAGAAGGAAGTACTTCACTGAGCCCTATGAGATATGTGAAGGTAAAGATGTTGATGCACTTCCAATTCGATCCCTCATTACTGAATATGCATAGACCAAATAAAAGCTTTTTTAAAAACATTTAATAGACACAAAAATGAAACGTTACCTGTCCTTGATAATGTATAAGGTAATGTCTTTGACTTGACTAATAGGCACCATATTCATGCTGGCGAAAACCCTGTTATACACTGTAAAGATGTACAGCGATAAATGTAAATTAAAAAATAAGTTAAAAAAAAAAAAGTAGCTCACGGTGCCGGCAGGTGGCGTGGTGGTTGGGGGTGCTGGAGTCCCACATGGCTGACCATGGTTTGAGTCCCAGACCTGTGGCTTGCTTTCTCATATTCCCTCTCTGTCTCTTTCTGATTTAATTAAAAATAATAATATAAATGAAATAAATAATTCTTTGTAAAATAAAAAGTGGCTTTTCTGAGGCTTATTAACATGATGCAGTTAGGGGTCGGGTGTACCTGTCTCTGAGTCCTTTGGGTAGAGTAAGTGTGAGTTGTCATCCCAGACACCTGTGTGTGGGTCCCTTTGTTTTCATCTTAAGAATGGCCCATCAGCAGGATAGGTAATGTGGCAGAGAGAGGCAGGCTCTTCACACATTGCATGATCTGGAATTTAAATAGTGCAATCTCTCCTTACTTATAACCTTTCCTAAAAGGGTGTGACCCTACCCTGTCTGTATCACCTTGCTACTTCCTGTATTTTTAAATAGTCAACAAACTGGGTAACTTAGCATTAGAACACAAATGAGAAAAGGAACTTTATTCTTACTCTGATGGTTTCACACACCACCCTTACCATGTTCTAAAGCTTTGTATCTATCTGGGTCTATTTCTGGACCTCCAGTATCGTCCTCTAGTGTTTTTCCTTTTTTTCTATAGGCTGTGTGTGCGCTCTTCAGAGAGAGACAGAGAGGGGGGAAAGGACAAAGCACCCCCTGTAGGGACTAGTCATGCCACGATTTCTTCTCCTCCATCTTTCCCTCCTTTCAGGATTTTGAACATGCATACACACATGCCCAGAGTGTTTCTCAAGTTGCCAGGACTAGGATTTGAACCGCGTGGTTAACCATGTAGGATCCATCTGCCTTAATCACCAAACCATGGAGTCGTCCTATCTATTTTAATTTATTCATACAGCAATACTTCGATTTTTTGAGGCTTTATTTTTTTTGTTGGGTTGGTGGTTAGTACTTTTTTTTGTTTTAATCTTTTTTATTTTATACATGTAATCCCTGTGTATCATTACAGCACACCAAGTGAATTTTCCCATCATGAGTACACTGCCTATTGATCCAGTCAAAGACATTACCGTAAATGTTACAAACAAGGGCTGACTCTCACCTCATAGCTTTTTTAGCTGTTTTTCCCTGACAGTATCAACTCATCTCACTCCATAAAACACTGACCAATGGTTTCATTTGGGATTTCATTGAATTTATAAATTAACTTAGGAAGAAATGTCATCTTTATACTGCTGGTTGACCCAATCTAAGAACAGGAGGCGTTGTTTGGGTACATTACGAATCACGCTTGGCATTAGGGAGCCCATGGCCAAGGGAAATGTTGTATTTCCATGAGAATGAGAAGCGTTTTCTCTTGGTTCCCAGATATCGACGAGTGTAAGTCTGGACTGGCCAAGTGCAAGCATGAAGCATACTGCAGTAATAAGGTCGGGACGTATGTGTGCAGCTGTCTGACCTTCCTCAACTGGATAGCTCGTCAATTTAACATCCATTATCCAGGTTGTTATGGTAAGAACTTCCAAGTCCTCTTTCCCCCATGAAACAGGCCAGGATCAAAAAGCAGATCTCTGTCCTACCTCTCACCCTTTATCTCTCTGTAGCCTTTGCAAGTCTTCTCCAAAGAGAGGCCTTCCAAGTCCGTGGCAACAATAACCATCTCCGTAGAGCAACAGATTCTTCACACATTTGTCTTTCCACTCTGAGTCTCCTTCCTAGGTTGCAGAGGACATCTCTAAATGTCTTACGAACATCGATATTTATTTATCTCACTCACCTCAGATTCCCTTTCTATGCCTCGTTATCCATTGTTACACTCAAGTCCATGAGTTCAGACCAACGCCTCTGATTCCAGTCCTACACGGAGGTTGTTCTAGCCCGCATTCTATCCTTTCTCCAGCAATGAAAAGCCTAGCTCTCCACTACCCACAATTTATTTACTTACGTGTTCAATCCTAACATAATTCTGCATTTTGCATGAACTAGATTTCATTGAAGTGCCGACTCTTCCGCTCATCTGTTGCCTCAACTTATAAATGCATCATCTGTAAATGAGAATAATAATATCTACCATGCTAGTATTTCATTGCCATGTAACAAGTGTCCCCCAAATGTAGCCGCTTCAAATTACACATATTCAGGGGCCAGCAGGTGGCTTGGTGGTTAAAGCACTAGACTCCCACATGGCCAGCCATGGTTCAAGTCTTGGCCCTGGTGACTTGCTTTCCCACTTTGTCTCTCTGTTTCTCTCTGGTCAAATTAGAAAAATAATAATAATAAGTAAAGTTGAACAGATAATTTTTAAAAATTACACATACTCACTGTCTCAGTGTCTGAGGGGATCGAGAAATGTACACATGTTGGAATATTCAGTTTGTAAGCTAAATAACATGATTGACTGTATAAAAGAATGAGAAATAAAAAATAAATTTAAAAAATTATTAAAAAAAGAATCTAGGGAACCAGCAGTTAGCGTAATGGCTATGTCGCTGGACTCCCACGTAGTCGACCGCGGTTCGTGGCCCAGACCCGGTGGCTTAAAACTCACACCAGGCGCGTGTGCGTGAGTGCCCAAGATCCCGAGAGGAGAATGGAGGAGAAGGGATTGCGGCGTGACCATCCCCCCTGGGGGGTGATTTCTCGCTTTCTGTCTCTATGTCTCTCTCTGTCTGTCTGGCGAGCGCACGCGCCCTACAGTGAAAATCTCTCCAAAAAAAAAAAATAAATAAAATTAAAAAATAAAAAGAAATTAAAAAAAAGAATCTAGACACAGTTTAGCTGGGTCCTTTGCTTCAGACTCTCTCATGTCAACAAATCAAGATTTTGGTGAGGGCCGTAGCTTCATCTGAAGACTCAACTCAGGCAGACCAGCTTCTAAGCTCACTTACATGGTTACTGGCAGGATTCAGGTCCTTGGCAGCTGTTGGACTGAAGCCCTCAGTTTACTCTGTGATTGGAGGGAAGCAGCCTACAGTTCCTAAGTATGCAGACCGCTCTGTCTTGTTTTATTAGAATGAGCACCTGAAAATATCCAGAAAGAGAGCATGAAGAAGACAGACATCATAGACTTTTTTTAAGAGAGATTCTTGCTATAGGGCTAGATAAGGGGAAGCCTTAAATCCAACATGGTGGGTGTGCTTGCTGAAGAGAGAGACAGAAAGTCACCCCCAGGGGGATGGCCATGCTGCAGTCTCCTCTTCTCCACCCTCCTCTTGGGATTTGGGCATGCTACACATGTGCCTGGTGTGAGTTTTAAGCCACTGGGTCCAGATCTCAAACCATGGTCAACCACGTGGGAGTCCAATGATGTTACCATGACACTATCTGCTGGTCCCAACATCATAGACTTTTACAGCATCACCTCAGAAGTGGCATCCTATTACTTTTTCTGTATTCTTTTCATTACACTTGAGTCACAGGGTCCATCTCACCATCAAGGAGAGGAGATTACATAAAAGTGTGAACAGCAAGTGGCTTGGATCCCTGGGAGTCATTTCAGGAACCTCATTACTGACTTGGTGCTTTCCCAGTATGTGTCTCCACTAGAACCTGTCACTGTGGTCTTACTTGGAAATAGGGTTTTTGCTGATGTAATCAAGTCAAGGTGAGGTCTTCCTAGAGAAGGGGAAGCCTTAAATCCAACATGGCGGGTGTCCTTATAAGAAGAGGGAAATTTGGACACAGACACACACACAGAGGGAAGGTGGCCACGTGGAGACAGAGGCAGGAATTGCAATGATGCTGTGACAAGCCATGGAACATCAGAGTTTGCTGGAAACCTCCTGAAGTTACAAGACACATAGCAAGATTCTCCCCTAAAGCCTCAGAGGGAGCATGGTCCTGCCAATACCTTGATGTTGGACTTCTAGCCTCCAGAACCGTGAGAAAATAAATTTCTCTTGCTTCAAGCCACCAAATTTAAAGCATCACTCATAATCACTTAATTACTTGTTTTGTTGGATAACTTTTCTGCCAGACTGCACACTCCACAAAAGGACACCCTTGTTCTCTTTAATCTCTACAGTATGGTTTAGCAGCATGTCTGGTTTTGAAGGTGTTCAATAATGCTGTCAACTGCATTGTTGAATCGGAAGCCTCATTCTAATTCCCTTTAAAATTCTCCTGTCAAATACATTTTGGACTTTTTAGAGGGGAATGAGAGTGTGCTGCAGAAGTACTGGGAGAAGACTCAACTTGGATGATTGGAAGAAGGAATATAAGCCATAGTGTTTTCTCCTATGTCCCATTTAATGGCTACTTTTTCTTCCCAGAGGACAGTGGTGAGGCAACCCAGTCGCAGATGGACATCTGGGTGAGTGGAGTGAAGCCTGGGTTTGGGAAACACTGTCAGTCTCACCATGTCATTCTCCTGTCCAAAAACTATTATGGTTCTCTGTCATTAATTTTTAGGATAGAGCGATTGTCAACCAGGATTGACAATCCTGTTCCAAGTTTACCTGGCAATGTCTGGGATGTCCCTCTCTGTTCAAATTAAATAAATAAACAAAGTTGAAACAATAAAATGGGGGAGGCATAGAAAGCAACAATAGATACCAGACACAGTGTGGGAGGAGGGTGGGAGATGGCAGAGGGTGAGATAGGGAATCAAGGATGGGAAAAAAGGCAAAATATACAGAAAACAAGAAATGGAAAATTATTTGTTGACAATAACACATATGTTGATGTGCTTGATTGAGCCAATATACAGTGTATTCTGAATGGAAAAATCTCATTTTGTATGCTATAATGATGTACAGTGAATGAATGTGAATAAAGAAAAAAATGTAAAAAAAAAAAGCTAAAAAAACCAAATTAAATAAATAAATAAAATTAGATAAAAATAATTCTTTTTTAAAAAAGATTTAAAAATTTCCCCTTACCATACACTCTAGCATACAGTATTTACTTTTATTTTTCCTTTGAGTATTCTGTGGTCAATGGTTAGTTTGCCTACTCCAGTTCCAGCTCTGTGAGGCATGACCATGTCCCTCTTTGCTTGGGTTGTGTGGCCAGTGTGTGTTGCTCAAAACGCTTTTCTCATGCTTGTTACAGCTTGGAGGAGGTGTGTTACTGGCATCTAATGGATAGAAACTAGGGATACTGCTTAATATCATAAAGAGCCCAGGGTAGCCTCCCATAACTAAGAATTATCAGGTCCCAGGTGTCAATAGAGAAATTCTGGAATAATGTCAACTGTCATTTCAAGACCTGCATCAAGCTTCTCTAAATTCATTCCCACCCTATCTAGTAGCATCTTAGAAAATACTGTCATTTTCTGGGCTCACCCAACCACACAGATGTATTTTTCTGCTTTCTTAAATTCAGTAAGAGTCTAATGCACTTTATTTCTATGAAAGGAAACTCTACGGAAAAATGAAAGCAAAAAGGACATTGCAAGAACGGCTACCCAGCTACTTCAGAACATGGAACTGACCATATTCAATAGAAGTTTTGCTGCTCCAGGAAAGGGTGAAGATTCCATATTTGATTTAGGTACGAGATGCTGAGTAGATTGTTTATGACCACCATAATAGGATATGGGTTTTCACATCATTAGAGCTTATAAGTGATTAAATCTACCAGCTCCCAGAACCATAGGCCTTCTGTTTTATATGAGAAAGACCTACTTTTTTATTATTACTATTTTGCCATAGGGTGTGTGCACTTGCCAGAGAGAGACAGAACAAGACAGGGAGAGGGAGAGGGAGAAATCATCTTCTGGCGGATGGCCACACTGCAATCCCTTCTTCTCTATTCTCCTCCTGGGATTTTGGACACATACACACATGCACCCAACATGAGTTTCAAGTTGCCAGGTCCAGAACTCAAACTACAATAGATCATGTGGAAGTCCAACACTTTAACCACCACGCCACCTACTGGCCCCAAGACTCTACTTTTAATATGTAAACTCAGGATCAGCAGATGATGTGATGGTTGAGGCACACTTGAAGATAGTGTCAGATTCCACAGGCTCAGTCCCACAAGGCCATTCCTCTCCCTCACTGTCCATGCCAATTACAAGTTCCAGGTTGTAACCTATATTTCCAACCAACTGGCTATAAACTGGAATGGGCATGACCCCTCCTTGGGATCATCGAATCTGCTAGAGTAGTTTCACAGAACTTTTCTCATGTGGCTCCATTTATTATGAAGGATATTAGGGCTACAGATGAGCAGCCAGTTGGAAAAGATCCATAGACCAAGAAACCACATAACGGGACTCTTTCAAATGCAGAATATTTCCAACAAGTTCTTGTTTCCTTGAAAAAAAAAAAAAGTCTAAGTGTTTATCTTCTCTCGTTTAAAAAAATTAAATTTTGGGAGCCAGCAAGTGGTGTGGTAGTTAAGGGCGCTGGTCTTTCACATGGCCAACCATGGTTCAAGTCCCAGACCTGGCGGCTTGCTTTCTTGTTTTCCCTGTTTCTCTCTCCCTCTGTCCCTCTCTGTTCAAATTTAATAAATAAATAAAGTTAGATAAAAATAATTCTTTAAAAAAAAAGATAAAATTTTCCCCTCACCATACACCCTACATACAGTATTTACTTTTATTTTTGTCTTTGAGTATTCTGTGGTCAATGGTTAGCTTGCCTACTCCAGTTTCAGCTCTGGGAGGCATGACCGTGTCCCTCTTCTCTTGGGTTTTGTAGCCAATATGTGTTGCTCAAAATGCTTTGGCCACTTCATTCCCACTGATCAGAGATATGGAGGGGAGTGCCATCTGGTCTACCTTGTGTATCCAAGATGGAATCACCATTCAGGGGTCTTCCAAAGGAGGGAGTTCTTCAACAAGTTCCTTAGACATGAGAAACGAGTATATTACACTCACTTTCTTACTGTATCCAGTCTATGAAACCAAGAGATGCAATGAGACAAGGAAGAAGACTCTTCTGGAAGCTGGAAATAACATGATGGATATTGACTGCACTGATGCCTTCAAAGGAAACCTAAGAGGTACCGTGTCTAAGATAGACTGTGTGGACTCCAAGTTCTAGATACCATTGTCTCATTTCTAGGTGACTGGGCCAAGGGGTGGGGACTGACACAATTTTCAAGGTAGGAAGCTTCTATGTGATGGAACGAAAGATCTTTTTGGCCACTAACCAGGCAACGTGGGCATGAAGTTGGATTCTCATAAGGAGTGCATACTTGGTGGCACACCTGAGGTTTGAAAAGAGGTTCCTTGGGGCCAGCAGGTGGCATGGTGGTTGACGTGCTGGATTCTCATGTAGTTGACCACAGTTCGAGTCCCAGATCCAGTGGCTTGAAACTCATGCCAGGTGTGTGTGTGTGCATGCCCAAAATCTTGAGAGAAGAATGGAAGAGAAAGGATTGTGGTGTGGCCATTCCAGCCCTGGGGTGGGGGTGATTTATTGCTTTCTGTTTATCAGTCTCTCTCTCCCTCTCTCTCTCTGTCTCTTTTGCACACGTGCTCTGTAGCAAAAAATCTCTCCAAAAGAAAGAAAAAGAGGTTTCTTGACACGATTTCTTAAAAAATAACAAGGAGGTGCTGGATGATGATGCTGTGTGAGGCTGAGTCACATGGGAAGGTACCAGGTTCACGTCCAGAAACCTCCCTGAGTACACTGGGGGTGTGCCCATGATCTAGGGCTGACTGAGGTCGAGTGTAGTGTGGAATCATGACCCTGTTAGGGTTTCCCCTCTCTCTCTCTCTCTCTTTCTCTCTCTCTCCCCCTCCCTCCCTCCCTCTCTTTCATATACTCATGAAATAAGTAAACATATAAACTTCAGGAAAAAATATTTTTAAGGAACATGATGGATCCAGTCTATGGTGTAGTGGTTAAGGTGACTGGCTCCCACATGGCCAACTGCAAAGTTCAAGTCCCAGACCCAGAGTCTTATAAAAACACATTGGACATGTGTGCACACGTGCCCAAGATCCCAAGAGGAGAAAGGAGGAAAAGGGATTGCAGCATGCCCCTTCCCCCACAAGGAGTGCTTTCTCACTTTCACTCTCTCTGTGTATGTCTCTCTCCAATGAGCACACCCCTGCCAGCAAAATTTAAACATATATTAAGTGAAGTCATAAAATGTCTCTCCTTTATAGCCTGGCTTGCTTCAAGAAAAAATACTTAAATATATATATATAAATATACATATAATATATTTTTTTTAAATTTTTTGCTATAGGGCATGTGCGTTCACGAGAGAGGGGGAGAGAGAGAGAGAGAGAGAAAGTGGGACAACAAGCTGTCAGATCCAGGACTTCAACTGTGGTCAGCCATGTGGGAATCCAACATCTTAACCACCTGATAGCCTACTTTCTAACTTTATTTCTGTTCTGTTTTCACAGATAGGAGTGCAGTTTCTCTCATCACTTACAGATCTCTTGGGGACATTCTGAATGGATCCTTTTTCAATAACAGAAGAGGGATGCAGGAAGTAAAACTAAACTCTCATGTGGTGAGTGGTACCATCGGTTTGAAGGAGAAAGTCGACCTGTCTGAACCTGTGTTCCTGACTTTTAAGCATACTGAGGTGAGCAGAACCCAGGGCTGGTTCGCTGTGTAGTGCCTGAAAGGGGGAGGGTGTATTGTCTGCATCCTGGTAGGGAACTGGATCCAGTGCTGACCACTCAGAGGTGAGAGATCAACAACTGATGCGATATCAATTCCACCTCTTAGGACAGCCGTTATCAAAGATAAGTGCTGGCGAGGATTCCTGTCTGTCGGCAGGCATGTAAATTGGCACAGCATAATGCCAAGCGGTACGGAGAGTCCTCGAAAAATTATAAATAGAATTATCATATGATCCAGCAATCCCACTTCTGGGCCTGTATATATACACACATACATACATATGTATATATACACACATATGCATATACATGCATGTGCATACATATATGTATATACACATACATTCGTGTGTGTATATACATATATGTATATGCACACACATACATATACATATATGTATATATACACACACAAAGTGATTACCATTGGGATCTTGATAAGATATCTTCATCCATGTTCATTACAGTGTCATTCACAATAGTCAATATATGAAGAAAGCCTGTGTCTGAAATGACTGAATATACATATAATATATATATATATACATA